CACAAAATGGTTAGATCGGTCCCAGGAACCAAGCCTGTGCTGAAAGAATTAATATTACCATCCGGAAGGAATACATCAACAGGTAAAATGTAGGAGAAGTAAATACCTGCGGGATTGGGAAGAGGGAAAGCTGAAGGACAGGGCTGTCTGAAAATCCAAAATCAAGGAGACAGAAGACCTCTGATTCAAAAGTCAAGTGAGGAAATCCACGTGACGAAGAATAGTGGGTTGATCAGGGGAAAACCTTGGACCAAGAAACCAATGACGGAAAACTTTCCATTTGCGTTGAGAAACTTCCATAGAGGAAGGGTGAACGAAACAATCCAAAAAAGAAGTTAACCATTGGGAGAAGCCAGGTCTCCTCTCCAATGACCAGAGGAAAACCAGGCGTGATGATGAAGAACAATAAGGTCCGAATGAAACACTGGTGACTGAGGGTGGCTAAGAAGGGACATAGTCAGAGGAAGATGTAATGGAGGAGGGAGTTTGAGCTGGAGAAGCCGCAAAAACTACAGAGGAGATAACCAGGAAGAAGCCATCAGAAGGACTGGACATGGAGTGTTTAGGATGTTTGAAATCACCCAGAAAAGAAGGAGGATAGACAAATGTGTTGGTCCAATCCTGGCTGAAAACATCGATAGCCAGAGCAAGAAGAAGAGGGACCAGAGACAAAAACCAGAGCAATTTGTGGTTAAAGGATGTAGCAAGAGCCACAATATGAGGAGTACCCCACTGAAGTCAAAGCCACTGGAAAACAAAAGGATTGAGAGACCACTCTGTCAGATAGATTTTGTCTGGATGGGACTCCAATCTGCAACAACAGTGAAAGCACCCAGAACATGACACACAATGATATGAATACCAGGTATGTGGGCCCCAAAAGAAGATCCAATGTATGAATATAGAAGGATCAAGAACAGGTGCCACTCTGGTGATTGAGATAAACAGCCACTGAAGAAAAGTTGGAATGGATCATTACCAGATGACTTCTGGCCAGCAGGAGAAAATGAACCAAAACACGACTTACAGCGAGAAGCTCCAGGATGTTGATATGATAAGATCTCTCAGCTGCAAACCAAAACCCCAAAACTTCCTGTTGATCAACCCACGCCCCCCATCCCCGAAGAGATGTGTCAATGAAATGTGTAATTCTGGATGAGGAGGAGGAAGCAAGACACTCGCCAACATGTGAGTCATGTCTAACCATCAATGCCGATCATCGATAAGGGTAGGAGGAAGGGTAATAACAGCTGACAAAGGATCCCTTGCAAGATTCCACTGGTCATGAAGAGCCCACGAAAGAGCCTGACCTAAGGGGATAAGGGCTACCATGGGAAGATCACATCCCAAAAGTGATACAACCTCATGAGCTGTAAACTGAAAACCCATTGAATAAAGTCGAAGAGAAGAAGAGTGGGCCTGACTGAAATGGGTGTTGAAAAAGAAAAGCGACTAAATGGACAAGATATTGGATTGGTTGCAGAAAGGACTTCTCCAACCAGCCCATTATAGCTGCTTCCAGGAGCAGCTGATAATGGTAACAGGTGGAATCCTGTTCGGAACAAGCTAACAGTAGCCAGTCATCCAAAGAAAGAGGAAAGAGCAACCTGAGAGCATGTAAGTCACAAGTGAATGCTCTGATCCCCCAACAAAATATACAGGGCCAAAGCAGGTTTGAAGAGCAGTGCATGAAAGAGATAAGCCACCCTGTGGAGAACAAACCAAAGAGAGGACTGCAAGTGACGAGATATCTAGATATGCAATTAAGCATTCCTGGCATTTCTCTTCGTCATCTATACACCTGGAGAAAAAGTCTACCTACGGGAAAGAATTAACTCCAAGGTAAAATGAGGCAGACTGAAAATTAGATTGAGGCAGGACAAACCTTGTACAGGCTGCCAGTCTCCGGTTTGTCATGAGGGCAACAAACAGACTGGAGAAATATAATGAAAAGGTGCAATGGTCTGTAGAGACAGAAAATCTTGTACTGCCTTGGACAGATGCTGGTTAGTGACAGGATCCTAAGTCATGGGGAAAGTCTTTCTGATAAAACTCAAAGAATCCATGGATCTGTAGTGAAAGATCGCCAAAGGGTAACAAAATCATACAGTCAAGCTCCCACTGGTTAGCCTCTGGTAGTATTGGCGACATGCTTATTGACATTGAATAAACCGACGGGATGAGAAACCCCTGGAAAGAGGAACAGGGAAAGGTAGATAAATACCAGAATGGGAAAGGAATAGGGGCTTGTCGTGGCTCCAACTGTGACAAACATGCAACCCAGAGGAAAAAATACAGTGCTGATGCACAGATTACACACGTGATTCCAAAGTCTCAGATACATAATCGAAAATATATTGCCAAAGAAAAAAAAGGGTCATACGTAAATCACTAAACGAAAGAAGCAGTAAACACACCCGGGACAAAATTGCAGAAGATCCCACAACAGTGAAACCATGTGTGTAAAGCAAGAGGTGAAGATGACAAATGAGCCAACATGGAGGTAAATCAATAAAATATCATGTACCTGAGAAATCATGTTGAATAATGCCATATTAAGCCTAGCTGATTCTGTAGATGGAGTCAGGAAAGACACAGCAAAATTCAGTGGTGTAAATAGGCTATAAAATCTTCATCAGCTCAAACAGGTTTGGCTTGTTCAGTAAGATTATAGGGGCAAGTAAAGGAGAAGGAGGTTGACCAATATAACGATCAATTTCCCAGATGATAATAGCATAGAAATCCAAAGACGGGTCTCCCCCACCTGTAGCCTGTGAAAATAGTGCTAGAAGTATAACACCTGAAGTGGGAATATGAACATCAGAATTCATTGTAGAAATACATAAGTCATACAAAAGTGTTTGATGTAAAATATGAGTGGGAGAAAAAAACAAAGACTGGGAAAATAAGTTAAATTAAAAAATTTCTTCAATGTAAAGAAAAAAAAGTAATGAAGAAATCCTAATTCAGAAATTAAACTATTAAAATCATGAAAACAATTCACATGAAGAGCACCAAAAGAAAAAATGTCTGAACGCGAGTACTACCAAACAAGAAGTGATAGTTTAGTAGAAATGAAGAGGGAGTCATGTGCGTCATGAGAGTATGTCGCACTCTTATTGCTGGAGGGTTGACTCATTATGATATGCACGAGACACACATTGGAATCAATCAATTCCATTGTAGGGGAGATAAAAGGCTTGTGGCATGTGTAACAAATTTTTTGCATATAGAGGGCAGCACTGAACGAGAATAGCCATTTAAGTGAGTGGACATAATGTACCATATTGGAAATTTAAAATTCTAACCAGATTTACCTCAAAAATACAGAAAAATTGAAAACCCACATTTGGAACAGTTAAGATTATACAAAAATGTACATGCTATAAAGCATGAAGATAATAACCTAGACCATGCTAAAGATGTGTTTAACCAAAGAACTGGATTAAAGGGAAAACAAGTAGATCAGACCAGCTTTACATATAGACTGAACCTAAGGACATTCAGAAAGTTCATACAAGAAAGGGGTCAGTTATGATGGTAATGTGTATATCTATGGGTCCAACAATGTGAGCACAAATGGTGTCCTAAACAGGTGAGAAAAATCATACATAACGCTCCAGTCAAAAATTATGAGTGTACATACACCTGGAGATTTAGCTAAATTTTAACCATTATTTAAAAAAATTTAAATAATAGTATTATAAATTTCAACCATTTCTAAAAAGGCTAGTGTGTCATGAAACTGGTCAAATCAGTGGGCCCTATGGAAGAAGAAGAACTTAAGAAAGACCCAAGCTATCCCAAGAATGAAGCTCAAAAATTTGTGAACAGTGCAATGGGAACATCAAAAATAAAGAGAAATCAATAATAAAAAACATATATGTTTCCCATACTGGTTGGAGCTATTAAAATATGTATTGACAACAGGTGTTTCATCATAGATATCTATAATATCATGCAAAGATGTGCACATAGATGTGAGAAAGGTACCCACTGAAGTATCATCAGCCATCAGATGGTATTCTCTATCCACATCCAGAGAGCAACAACCTCTCATGGAACACCAGTGCAGAGAATGGAAATGTGTCAAGTACATACAACATAGAGGTTATAGAACATGTGAATGGTTTCAAGATCCATGGAGCAAAATGAATATCCCTTACAAGACATAGGAAACATTGTTTTGAATACAAATCTGGGTCAATCAGAGTAGGTAACACAACTGGTTAAAAACCATTGGTTACAAAAGCCTTTGGCAGGTTTTGCTTTACCTGTTGTTAAGTGTAAAGCTATACAATGAGCTGTGTTAAGCTCACTTCTGGAACTGAAACCTGATTTTTAGCATTATAAGCCATCAGACTTATTTGGGGCATCTTTGATAGAAAAACCCTATCAAGATATAAGTTTACATCTTTCCATGTAAGGTCTACTGATGCATGTGAAATAACAGTGGAAAATGGGAGAGTTGATAACTATGGGGGTTAGGTGGCACATGCTTTGAAGTGTATCAAGAACATTCAGAATTTTGATGCATATTGTTCCTGAGGGTGCAAGTATGAACTCAACAAAGTAAGACTTTCAGTATTTCAGGTGTAAGTCCATATGATTTGAACATATTGAAAATGTTAAAATATAGAAAATGCTTACTTACATCATCTGTTATACACAGGTAGGTGAGTGAATCATCCAAAATGTAATGAAACAAGTAGCTGAAAAATCAAAAATTAAACAGTCAGAAATGTTTTAGCCAGAATTGTGTAAACATTTTGATAATTATCCATTGATTAAAAACAAACAAAGTTTCTTATATGAAAATATATTCAAAGTGGTATCTTATAATATTCCAGGTCACCATTTCAGTATTTTTGAAACAATAATTTCACACCATATTTAGTGGTGGAATAAATAGTATGGACAAACTTGAATGTTAGAGGTAATATCTGACAAGAGGCTATGTGTATGTGTCTGCTCATAAGTGATGAATTACTGGACCAATTGTACCACTTGGTATGTACCCTTAGAGCCCCCAGTGACATTTGAGGTCAATGTTCAGATGTGATCCCTATGTCAACCCTGAGGCCCCTGTCTTCCCCATGCATTGAACACATACGTAAGCTAATATATATACATAAAACTAAATTTATAATTTATTATTACTTACGTTTTCATCCTTTTTCATTCACCTTTGTATTTCCTGCATTAAATTTGTGAACTATGCATCAACTATTTAGCTTACACTGTTCTGATCCTTTGATGCCAAATTCTAAACTCTTGTGTTCTGAATTACTATACCCTTTTCAGTTCTTTATTTTGTACTGTGTTCAGTTGGTCTGAAGACCATAAGAAATGGGACCACAGCCTTGCTACTAAAAATAACGTTTATGTGATGTAAATCAATTTTTTTGTGTTACTAATATTCCTTTGTGCATAACAGTTGTTCACACTCATCAGCAGAATTTTAATTATTTATTACACATTCACATTATTCAAGCTTATAAACTGTGTATATAAATTGAAGTGGCAAAAAAACATTAATATCGGTTTTTCAAAACTTATCCCATTAACTGTTGCCTTAAAATAATTATACCACAACATGAGCTATATGTAGCAGCTAACTGTACACTAGAGGTACATTTCTTTACTTCTGAATCTGTATAATAAAAATTTCTCTCCCAAAAAGTGTTGTCTCAAGTCCATTTCTTCTTTTAATTGATTAAACATGAATATAAGAATTATATAATGTACACTTCTTCATAATGTTTAACTTAATATGCATGAGGTTCATCCAACAAAGCCTGTATTGGAGAAGTAATGCTGAGTATAATTTCGAAGTTAGTATGTGTATCTTCATGAAATGTGGCATACATTTAGTAAAAAGTACATGTTTGTTGTACACAAAAAATCAGATGCATTAAAGAGGTATTTGTACTCAAGATATTCTGAGAAGTCAGAGAAAGGTGCTGTTCATGTGAAGAATAAACATACTTTTGTCAATCATCCAGTTTGTATATTGCATTTGCAAAACCTTTAGAGCCTCCAAAATGTATATTGATAGTTCTTATCATTATTTCTGTATACTGTATCTGATATTACTCTCCTCTATGATGAAATGTCCCTAAATTAACAATGTAGGGTTAAATGAATGACTGATAACTTTGGCATCAAATACTATGTCGACTGGCACTCAATATAGGGCCATGGAATGTGCAATTGCACCTCTGCCTGTGCAGATAGGGTTAATCAATTAAAAAAAATGTTTTAGTTAAATTAACAAATAATGTCATTGAGGTATGGTGCCATGAAGAAATATATGTGATTCCCAGGAATTATCATCTTATTTTCATACTTCCAAAAATAAACATTACTTTTTGAAAAGGGTTCGGAGAAGGGTTGCTAGGGTGGTGCCTGGGATAGAGGGGTTGTCATGCGATGAAAGGCTGAGATCTCTCAAATTGTTTTCTCTTGAAAACGGAAGAGTTGGATGGGAGATGACTGAGGTGTTTAAGATTATAAGAGGAATTTATAGTGTTGATGCATCATCTTTTTTCATATTTAACAGTGAGAATGGTGGGACTGGGGGACACAAATATGGATTTTGGCATGGTGGGAGTTGTCTTCAGCTGGGATAGTTTCATTTTTCTAGCAGAGTGATTGGCCTTTGGAATGGATTTCCTTTAGATGTTGTATAGGCAGTAAATTTAAGTGAGTTTAAGAAAATACTTGACAAGTATATGAATGATAAGGACTGGTTTTAAGATATTTGTTTTTATTATTATTTTAATTTAGTTAAGAGGATGGAACAGCCGAGATGGACCAATAGGGCACACGTCATCTCAAAGCATTATGTTATGATACAACTTCATGGTATTTCCAAAGATAGCCAAAATGCTCAACACTACAATCCTTAAAGATTAACCATTAAAAAACAAACATAATTAAATACAAAGACACTTTCAAAATTACATCTATTTATGCATTGTTTTTGGTTTTTGAAGTTGTTTGTAAGAGGAAATTCATGAACACTTAATACAAACAACACATTAAATGCAGACAAAACTGCATTTTGTTCTGCTCTGCTTTTGCTATAAAGTGTTAATTAATTATGACAATCTTTTGTTGCACCAAACACTAACTTAAAATAGTAAACAAATTTAAATATATCCCCTTGAGCCTGATTATGAATTAATAATTTGTAACTGCACATATGAAACAATATGATATGAAACAATTTAATTCCATAAGAATATATTTTTTGTGTAGCTTAAGTGAAACAATTTATTTATCAGGGTACATTCTGAAGTGTTCGTAATTTGGCATATATAGAAGCTCAAGAAGATGTTAAAAAGTGGATAAAATTGGATCAATTAGAAATACTGAATTTATTACTTGAATATATGTACTTACCTCCCATGGGAATAAGTAAGTTTTGGTGTATCTGGTGATATTTTGGATAAAATTTGTTCTGTAACTTCCAAAAAATTTCCAGCACAACTGGCATATTTTACTAAAATGGTTGTGCCTCTGGATACAACAGAATATAATATGGGCATCTCTGGTACCTACAGGAACTGACAGATTTGAAAATTACTGGTAATATGTTGCTCATAGTGCAAAAAAAATTTGATGACTTAGTTTTCAGTTTTTTTTCAAATACTACCTTATATTTTGCCTTAAATTCAGAAATGCAGAAACATATCATTACAATCAAATCTGGGTTTATGAAATATAAGGTACATGTACAAATTCTAAGAGCTTAACAGTGAAAGTAGAGAAGAATGTAAACAACCAAACTAAATGTGCCATATCTTGTGCCAACAAAGCCTTTTGCTCAATACCAGGGCCCATCAGGTTGCCTGGGACAATAAAGACACAGTAGTGGTTGAGAAAGATTTGGGTTTGTTGTTTATTATCTATTAAGCATGTAATAACAAAAGCTGGTTTAGTTCAGGTGTTTAAAATTGCTATAGGCTTAGATAATCTATTTTTAATCAGTTTCAGTGATGGAATGAATAGCTTGAAAATTCAAAATTGGAATTGAAAGGATAATAAGTTTAACATTTAGGAACTTGGATTCAAATTTTCATGCAATTTTGATGTTTACTTTGTCAAGTGAGGGGTAACATCAAAAACCTTTTATCACCTTGTTATTCTAGAGTTCTTTATCCTCTATTCTATTTTGTATTATTTCACAAGATAACTAAGTTAGTTAAAGTAGTTTCATTTCTCCAATGGAATAGTAAATCTAGAACCCTTGAAGTCCTATAAGCTTACAGTTACATTTATAGAGTTCTCTGACAATGTGACATGTGCTGTTAAAGTGTTTCCAAACACCTGTTGGACAAATATATAGATAAAAATGGGCAAATATATGGATAAAAATAGCTACATTTCATTTAACTTTGATGCTTTGGTTGGTTGTTTTTGTAATCGGAAGTAGACTCAAAGGGTGAAATGGGTTTGTGTGACATTGCTTTATCTACGTTCTTGCAAAACACAATTGCCTAGCTTTTTAAACACAATAGCATTGGAAACTGCAGTTTAATTAGCATGATGAAAAATCCTAAGAAATTTAAAAAAATGTACATAACATATGTAGTATCCATTGAAAATGTATGAGAAAATTATTATGGTTCTAATTTTTTTTGTATGCAGGCAACTAATGACAAAACTTCTGTATACATTAAAGCCAAATGCATGTTCAGAAAACTTAATGCTTAAAATGTTATCTCTTCTCCCTATATATATATGTAATAAAGCCTAATAATAATATGTAGTGATTTTTAAATCTATACATAGTCTGCCTTAATATTGCATAATGTGTCAAACAAACTGACAACTGCTCCTGATGAACATTTAGTAATTTTCATTAGGATTGATACACATACAAACACAAAAAAAGCTTTTATAAAATGTGCAATTTTCTTCCTTTTCTTAACCAAGAAGACTATATTTGGTAAGTCTCACTTAACACCAACACTGGTTGCTGAACTGAATATACATACAAACTTTTCTACAGTTTGTGTTGTAAAGATTGGTTACACCTGTTTCTTTAGTACACTATGTGTTATTTCATGTCATGGAACTTTCATATTTCTTCATAAAACCTTAAAAATATAATGTTAAATTCTTATTTTGTCAGAGTATCAATATTTATTTGAGTGATGAAATTCAAACTTGTTTAGTTGTTAGCAGCCTAATAGAATCTGAAAAGGATGGAATATTTGCCATTCTACTTCAGTACTTGTCTTAACTTCTGCTTTAGTTCATTAACTTAAGTATGAAAATGTTACTGGATTTAATCCTACTAGTATTATGTACTGTAAATTGTAATAGTTCTGCATCATTTGTAATTTGTACTAAATTGTAGATATATATTTAAAATTAAATTATATTGTTAAACAAAAAAACAAGTTTCAATTGACGCGATTTGTCTTAATTAATCAAGATATAAAATACTTATTTAATACCCAACGTAGTAAATTTAATAAATACTAAACCTTTATTTTTGGGAGGAGCGGAAGGTGTCTATTATTTTTACTTTTACTCGTATCATTTTAGTTGTACTACTAGTACTTCTGGATTAGTGTTGACGAAACCTTTATAACTGTGTAACAAAACAAAAACATCCCCAAACTTTTCTTAGATTTCTAACCTAATAATAAGGCTTTACTTTTAACAACTTAAGATTACTGTTGTTATTTTTGTATCGGTTAAAACAAAGCAGTATTATAGCTAAGTTTAAATAAAATCTCTTAATTAATAAAATTCATTACATTAGTTACCTTTAAAATCACGTGAACATGACAGTGCAAGCCCCCTATCGGAATGTTATAGCCTATTCTGTATTTCTATTCATCTTATTAAATTTTAAAGACTGGTTTGTTTTGAATTTCAAGCAACGATAGACGAGGGCTGTCTGCACTAGCCTTCCATAATTTAGCAGTGATAGACTAGAGGGAATGCAGTTAGTCGACACCACCCACCGCCAAATCTTTTAACAATGAATAGTGGGATCCACTAAACAAACAAGAATACAATTATTCTTCCCTGTAAACTGCTAAATATTTGTATTTTTATATTCATGACAAGTCTATCAATTTTTTACTACTGGCCAGGGTGAAGGCAGCCAGTTAACAACAGCTTACCACTCACTATCCATGCTAAAGGTAACAATTTATGGATTTGAGAACGAATTTCCAGCTTCGAAATCTAGAGCTCTACTATAGAGCCGACTCCCTGCCCAAACTAATGAAAGTAAGGAGTATTACCTTAAAAAGGATTATTTTATTCACAAGTGTGTTGCAAATAGGAAATATTTAAAGTTGACCCTCGGTGCACTCTACTAAATAGCAATATACATTCAGCTGAGTTGCTGTTTGCTTTCTTATTATGTATATGAGAAAAGTTTGTAACTTATTATTATAAATTTGAGCGTCTTCTGTATATGATATATATATATATATATAT